TCGGAAGAGATTACCCTGTTACATTTTTGTATTAAGTAAAATATTAAGGGATGTTTGGTTGGAGGATTCAAATCACGACTTGAATTATGGTTCATAATTCGTTACAGTATTTTCTATCATAAAAAAATACACGTAAATCAAAAATAATTTTAATCACAAAAAGTAATTCGTGGAGATCGAACGCTTGTTGTTTGATATCCAAAGTTTTGGGCTAAATTATTTTTCGTAATCAGTGGGGGTTCCATTTCAAGATTTGGGTTCAATATTGCCCTCAACGGCCTCTGCGGATCATCTGGGTTCGTCTCTCCCATCTCCGATACTTTGCATGCATCAGGTCCGGATCCGGAATATTGATGCACTTGTCAGGAGACTGCCGTGTTTTGCAGCTTTCAAATTTATGCACCAACGATCTTCCCACTGAAGATTTGGATAACCAACGGAAAAAGATTAAAGGTTGGAAACCCTAAATCCCGAAACTCTGTGATAGAAATCCCCTTTTAATTTCTTCTTCATTTTCCGCATATTGCAAGCAAATTAATGGTGTTATTGCATGGAATTCTTCACAAAGGGGTGAAGTTTGTGTATTCTATCACTTCCGTGGGTTTGTCGAAACGGATAGGAATGGGTTTGGAGTGCAATTGTGGGAATGAAGTATATGTCGAAGGGTTTAGGTGGAAAAATTGTTGGGTGGGTTAAACGAAGTGAACGATTGAGGGCCAAATCCCCTATTCGAATTAGAAATATATGATTCGGTATGGGCAAGTTTAATTAATTTAAACGTTAACCTAATTTGATGTAAGAGTAATATGTAAGAGGCGTAATCATCTAACGTATATCCAACGTTATTCTTTAAAAAAAATAATAATAATAAAACTTTGGTAAGTCTAACATGATTTACATTGAAAAGAAAAGGAAAAAAAAAGAAAGAAAAGAGTCCTACTCTTAAGAACCCATTACATAGGTGGGATTCCATTTCAACTTTTTCTATCACAAATTAGTCAATGTACCAAAAAATTCAATAATGGCCGATACAGCTTAACTTCTCCCCTCAGTATTAAAGTTCTTTATTTTTTCCAATTTCGCTATTCTAATATCTCCACTGTCTAAACTCTAAATGGTATGTTTTATTAGCTATAGTTAAATTGAGTAGTTATCGACACAATAATGGGACATGTCCACAATCAATGTAATTAAAAAGAGTATTCATTGACTTAGAATATTGGTTAAATATACATGTCTTTTGTGTATGCCAATAAGTCTATAATATTATATTGTTTAGCATTTTCTTAAAGCTTGCGTCATCCAGTATGCATGTCGGTAAATAATGTTGCACTTTTCTTTCATGTATTAACTTTCGTTCACACAGAACATAATATTTTTGCATCATTTCCTTCTTCCAAAGAATACAGCTCTTTTTATTGCTAACAACATATTAAACAATGTCGGCCAAATTATTTTGAAAAAAAAGAGTACCAATTAATAAACGTTTTAAGCTACATATATAGATCAAATCTTCTGACAAAGCCCTGGGCCCTTACATGTGTTCTGCGATAATATTGATGGCATGTTTACTTATTATGATTGAGAAATATAAGTAGAGAATGAGAGTCAATTCCATATTTACTTAGTCTTTTTTTTTATTATGAAATAAAAGTGAGATTAGTGGGCCTCACTCAAATTTGAGATTGAAAAATATAATTAGCACTCTCATACCCCTCTTGGGATTGAGACTCTTATTCCTGAATACAACATTAAATTACTATCATATCCTTATTTCACTTATAAATATAAAATTAAAAATAAAATTCAAATTAAAAAATAATAATTGCAATATATGTTTATTATTTTATTTGTCTAATATTATAACATTATCCTTGTTAACTTTAATTTAATAAATATGTATTTTATTTGTTTAATAAATTAATAATATATTTTAATTTTTTAACACTATTTATCATTTTTTTATTTAAATTTTAACAATTTATTTTTATATTTTAAATAATTGTACAATTTGTTTTTGTTATTTAATTACCCTATTATTACACTAAATATTTTAATTATGATTAATTTTGATATTTAAGTACACAATTTATTTTTTAAATTAAAAATATAAAAATTGACTTAAAGGGTATATTAGTATTTTTATACTATTTTATTTTAATTCTGAGTGTAAGTAAACGCATGAGTGAGATTTGGAGTAACTCTGATTCTGAATCCTGTCACCAAGTAAACAACTTATTATGACTCTGATTTTTCACTTCCAATCATGTCTATCCTGATTATGCGTAGATAAACATGTCATGGCCTATGATTACCATGCAACTTCCCAAAATAAAATATTTGTTTGTAAATTATAGGCGTACAAGTTAATATATTGTCGAATTAGCAAGTTGCAAAAGTCAACCAACAGCCAATGAGATTATCGATTACCACTCGGATTAGCCAATTGGGACGCCACCCTTTCCTTCTGGGATGGCCCACACAAAACTCCTATAATTTCTCAGGTAAAACCTTTGTTTTTGCAGTACAGGCTGACTAGTTGCTATAGCTGACGATGGTGATCTTAGTATATATATATAATATGTATATATATCGTCTTACCCCTTCGCACACACTTAGAGTTCTTTGTGTATTATTTTTCGAAGGCTTTGGACAGATATGACTTGGTTAATGGTTGAAATTCCTCTCTCATATATAGATGAAGAGATGGAAGCCTACTTTTAGGCCTGTCTTCAATTCTTTTAACAATTATATTTTGCTAACCCGTGCTATGTACTTAAGAAATTGAGTCTAGAAAAAAATACATTTTCTCATGATGTCATACATAATTTATTTACATATACTTAGAGACCTTTTTATAATGTAATAAAACTAGTCCACTAACATAAGTCCTTGTACCAATCGATTGGTAATTAACAAGGAAAAAATTATGACATTGGATAAGAAGTTGTTGGATATATTTGTACACAATACATATACACGTTCTTGTATATATCTCTATGGGTGTGCAAACCATAGAGAGAGGAAAAAAAATGAATTTGGACACCTTCGTTTAATTAATTCCAAAAGTTTAGATAAAACCTTTATTAATATCGAGCGGAGTAATGCCCAAAAAAAAAGGTGTTAACTTTTCGCACTAGCTATTTGCAAATTAAAGATTTGACTGTCGTTTATTTTGGCTCACCACATATTGGATATATATGTATGTACGTATTTTGCATATGGAATTCAAACTTTAGATAATATTAGAGATAGAGATGTGATTATTTTATTTATAGATCAAGCTTGCATTGCAACCAATATAGACCCATTTTTGGACAGGAGCAAAGCTAATATCTTTTAATCTTTTGATAATATAAAGACACGTATATGTTGTATTGATAGAATTGATTGATTCGCCTTTTCACGGCTAGTAAAAGTTTCAATTATTGAGAAGGACAAATATACTTACACATATAAGCATATATACCTTTTAGGGATATAACATATAAAATCAAAGGAAAGAAATTAAACTGTTTATTTGCTTGAAAACAATTAAATATTCAAGCAAAAAAGGAAGGAAAATTTCTCCATTCATGATAAAAGAAAAAGAAAAAGGGACAAAGGGAGTTTATTGTAATGTACGGCAAATAATATATTTTTAGTAAAAAAGCAGCAAACAAAAATATACTTTAGGAGTTCCTATGCTCTTTATATTATGAGTTCCTAACCCAACGGCACTGATTGTGATGTTGTCATCACTTGCACCATCGCCCAAATCTAACGGAAGATTCTAGCATTAGATTTTAATTATTAGGAATTAAGAATATGCCTTCCCTTTTTCTTTTTCCTTAACAAGGAAAATCATGACGATATAAGTAATCATCCAAGACTAGATATGCACGATCTCATTGTTGGTATATAAAATTGTAATTATATATATATATATATATATATCTCTGAGAGAATAAAAAAGAAGAATATTGAGAGACCTTTATCTATCGGGCTGATTATGGATATTCCATGTGGAGGCCCATGTTCTTATGGATTAACAGAAACTGGAAAATCCCCTTTTTTTCAATAAATACTAGATAATTAGGCTTTTATAAAAAAGAAGAATATTGAGAGACCTTTATCTATCGGGCTGATTATGGATATTCCATGTGGAGGCCCATGTTCTTATGGATTAACAGGATTAAGAAACTGGAAAATCCCCTTTTTTTCAATAAATACTAGATAATTAGGCTTTTTTTTTTTTTGCATGGGTGCTCCCTGAACTTCACGTGATTGGTAATTCAATCCCTAAACTAAAAATTGTGGCAATTGGCTTTTTGAACTTTAAAATTTGTTGTTTAACTGATCCAATTAATGACACCGTTAAGAACTTGGATGGAAAAGTCATGTGCATCTCACGTGTTCATGTAATCAGATACTAAATTGAAATTTATTAAGAAAATAGAAACTACAACCGTAAAAAAAAAAATAGAAAACAAAAGGGAAAAAAAAAATGGCTTCGCCAAAACCATTCATGGCCGTCGAGACTTCCACTCCTTTCTCCCTTTCACCAAACCAAAGCCTGCGAGGTCCTTGAATTGGATCGTGTTGTTTCCGTTCATACTGCTCAACACAGATCAGATGGGGAAGGAGGTAGTACGGCGGGGGCTGAAGTTGAAGTCGGATGCCAATGGAGGAAAAGAGGCTGTAAAAGCTCGAAGGAGGGAAGGAGGGCCTTGGGGGATCTCTATCTGTGGCTTGTCTCCTTCTTCTTTCTCATTGCCTTTTCGTGGACTTTACTTTCATGGTTATCAAGGGAAAGTTTTGGTCTTGATTAAGGATATACAATATGCCTCTTTCCAAAAAAAAAAAAAAAATCAAATATGAGAAATCAGAATTGTTCCCAAAACCAAGAAAACAAGAAAATGAATTAACTTCCAAGCTGGTAAACCTTTTCGTCTCTTGGGTGCTTGAATTGAAATTGTCCAGATATTTTCTTTTGGAATGAGATCGTTGTCTTGAATTGGAGTTCCTTCTGTCGAGCCCAGCCCTATTGCATTTGGTTTTGTGTTCCTTTATTTTATTTTTTTTTTTTTGCTTTTTTAATGCATTTTGTACAATTGCAATGGCAGACAAATCAAGAGATCTGGTGAGGTGGGTGGTGCGCAATGAAGATTTGGGAGTTGCCAGCACGACGGAGGTCGAGGGTGGGGGCAGCAGCTCTCCGTTGTTTGATGGGGCTTCCGACGGTCATCGGTTCACTAGCGGAGCCGGCCATTCATTTAACTGGAAACGTATATTAAATTTTTTTTAATAAATTATCTTAATATCAACGTATACAAAAATATATTTATTTTAATTGAGACATATTATTTCAATAAAAGTATAAGTGTAAAATTATAAAATTTATAAATGTAATATTTTTAAAAAAAAAATTTGAATGAAAACGGTAGTTCTATTAAATTGCATTTAAATCCGCCAATGATGAAGTTGTGAAGGAAAATTTAGAGATCGTTTAGTTGGAAGATTCGTTCTCTGATTCGAATAATGATTCATGATTCGTTACAGTATTTTTTCTCATAAAAAATACACATAAATTAAAAATGGTTATAATCTTATGATTCTAATCTATAAATCAAACGGATTCTTAATTTATTTTGGTTTACAAAATTATAAGATATAAATTGCTTTTAGTAAACTTCAGTTGATCCCTGATTAGGTGCACCCGTGGTGTGCACGTGAAATTTCCGTTCAAGTTTCTAACGGCGTCATCTGTTGGATTAGCTATGCAACACATTTCAAAATTTAGGGAGCCAATTGCCACAATTTTTAGTTGAAGGACTTAATTGCCAATCACGTATAGTTCAGGGGCAACCATGCAAAAAAAGCCGAAAGGTGAATATTGAGAGAGCTTTATCTATCGGGCTGATTATGGATATTATGTGGAGGTCCATGTTCTTATGGATTAACAGGATTAAGAAACTGGAAAATCCTTTTTTTTTTTAAGAAATACTAGATAATTAATCATGGCATTTGTAATTATCCAAGATATTAAGTAGAGTATTAGTCTAGCAAGTTGTCAATCAAATTTGTGTTCCATGCTCATGGGACTTTATACTCTAAAATGGGTAGGATAACAGAAATGTCTTGGAAAAAAAAAATACCTATTCTTCTGTTTATTAACTTAGACAATTTTCATGATAATCAGAGTTTCAGAAGTCAATCGCTTTGAAAAAAAAAAAAAAATAGTAGATGATTTTCTTTTTAGTCTCCCTGTTTAGTAAGCTCCTCTTTTATTTGAAGAATAACTCTTGTGAGCTTCAAATTTTCACTTATTTAAGAAGTTGCTTGAAACGTATTTATCAGTATTCATCCTAACTTTATTTTTTGTCTGATCAATATACAAAGCACCTGTACCAAGACCACATGTGACAACGTTATGGGTTATGGCCATGTCGACAAGAACACAAATTTCACGTTAGCTACTCAACAAATTTTATCAAAACAACCACATTCCCCGCGATAATCGGATTTAATTACTTATATATAGTACTACTTCTCAAAGATCACTTTCCAAGAAAACATTCTTCAGATTATGTGAACAATTCCTCCTTACAATTTGAAATCACCATATCTTCCCAAAAAAAAAAAAATAATAATAATATAATAAAAATAAAAATAAAAAATAAAAATAAAAAGATTGGTCATTCTTTGATACGCCAACATACCGGTATGTTAGGTTTTAAGTCCGTAGATCTACATAAAATCACGTAAGAGTCAAAAAATATGCAAACTTAACGGTTAAAAAAACTTGACAAATTGATACACTAGGCATACTAAAAAAATTTTACAAAAGATTTACATATTATTCATTTGATTCTGATTTCTCATACGTATTTTCACATAATCTGAGATTTAGAACCATGCTCTATTGATTTCTTCCAAAAAAAACACAGAGAGAGAGAGAGAAAAAAAAAAAAAAAAAAAAAAAAAAGAACCATGCTCTATTAATAATACTATCCTAGCAGGTATACACATCAACTAATTTTAACAGAAATAATTTCAAAATCATTTTTTAATAGGTTCAAAAGCAAACCCAAATAGACCAGCCAATCCGTATGCGACAAAGCACTGATAACATTAGAGTAACATTATCTTGACTATTCTTGAGGGACCAAGAGCGTGAAAAGAAAAAAGGGGGGAAAAAAAAAAGCAATGCATTGCATTTAGTCGCGCATATGATTAATTTAACAATTCCATCACTATAATCCACTTCACAAGTCTCCTCTTTTCCCCCATTTGTTGGGAGCGATAAGTACAGACCGAACGAGTTGACTAACTGAAGTTTAATCAACTCTTTTAAGTTCAAAAACATGTGAAACTGTCAACTTATGCATGTCGATTAATGCGTCAATCATGATCAGCTGATCTAATGGAAACGTGTATGCATGTACTCTACCAAGGGCAGAGCCTGTTCTTAGAGACAAAGTTGTAGATTAGACAAATCAATAACTTGGTTTACAAATAAATACAAACAAAACCGCCGGTGGCCGTGACATAGAGAGAACCTATGAGGAAACCCTGGTGGTGATGACATAAGCGATGAAAACATGAGTCGGGTTTTTTCTTTTTCTTTTTCTTTTTTTTTTTCCTATCAATTCCACCTATGATCCGAGGGCCAAGTGGGCATTGGACTGACGCTGCAAGGACACTACTGATCAACAAACCCTTTTTTCATCAGCAAAATAAAAAGTGTAAAAGAAAGATTAACATAAAGCACTTCAATGCAAGAGTACAAAAGCATGAATTAGGAAAAGTAACTTGCCAATTTTGATCATTAAATGACTGGCAAATCAAATAGAATAGGATCATACCAGTCAGAATAATGATTTATATAAACATCAAGCATGGAAAATCTATCCTCAACACACTATCCATAATTGAAGCCCACAAAGAACTTCAGTAAATGTGAGCCAAAGTTCATCCGCTTCTATGACTGCAATAAATATCCTTCATCATTAATCTTCTATTAATTTTTATCACCACTAGTTTCATTTTAACCAGGACTACCGGACTACTAAACCAAACCCTAAAGAAGGTGTGTCCTATAAGCACTTCTAAGCGCTGGTATTTCCCCTTCTTTGAACTGGTTTGTAAAGCACAACAGTAACAAATTTTGATCGAAAGCGATGAGTGAACCCCAATGCCACTACAGATCGCGGGGCCTCCCTGTTCTCGATGTAAAGATGGTTGAGGATCACATTGTGTGGCGTCGAAATAGATCCAGCACTGTCTCTGCTAGGGCAGCTAAGAACAGTGTGTTGCAGATGAGGAGGAACAATAGGTGGATCCCGTGCCTCGTCTTCCGTGCCCGGGTACACATTGTTGTAACTTGAATCGGGTGACTTTGGAACTTCAAATCCGAGGACAGTTGCTTCATCCTAGACAATAAGCATATAATAGATTGAGAGCTATTTGATTTCGGTGTTCAATGAAATAATCAAGGTCACAGTCATAAGCCTTACATGATCATCACCATACTGGTTGTTCATGTTGAAATGCAAATGCAGCTCACAAAATCATCAACAGCAGAAGAGTATGAAAATGATATGCCTGAAAAAACAGAAGTTTTCCTTTCATCAGGATTTGTCAAAATATCAATAATATCATCAATAGTAATATATTCGTAAGTCGTATAAAAATCATTCTCCCGAGTCCCGACTTCTAATGAGCCAGACACATTTGAAATTTCAGCAAAGGAAAGAAAGACATAATAAACTGGCCCTTCCCAAAAGAACTCAGTAAGACTGTCACACTACAGTCAAATGGAAATATTTCCGCAATTGTATGTCTATAACTTTCACATGGGCCATTGAAATTGGCAACAGATATTTTTTACTTGTTTATTTGTCTACCTCAAGGCAACTTTGTATGCTTAACAATCACAACCACAGAGTGGACTATTCAATCATGTCACCAAGAGGCTCTTGTTGGTTATAAAGGACCACCTTGCATTCCGCATAACATAAAGATTGGCATTGGGATGAACACTGTTTCCTACTCAACTAAGAATCTGTGTGTCCGTATTCTTAGCTACTACAACCAATATAATTCATCCACAAATATTTAATCTCACAGCACATTGATGCACTCACTCTGAGTTTGAAAAACAAATCTCGACACTCAAATTCTTATAAAAAATAAATAAATAAATAGTTCAGAACACAAGAGGTTATTCGTACTTACTAATCTAAGCCAAAATTCGTTGATCCTAGGATAATCCACGACATCAATACCAATAAGGATTTTTTAGTACTAACTGAATATCAAGGGTTTGCCTCAGACTAAAATTGAGGCTCCCAACAAAGTCCCGGTGAAGGGTCTTAGAATCAGGACTATTAATTAAAACTAAATCCTAATAACATATATGATTAAATGCGCTGCCCGCAGTAAGTGAGGCAAGGGAATGCTTGGTACCACTAGAGTCGCTACAGTGAACATAAAATCATGATTATAAGAACAAGGCAAGGCTGTGAAGCCAGAAGCAAGTTTAGTGGAAACAAGACTTCAGTAGTTCTGAATGATCAAGATCGACAGTAGTCTCTTCTTAAAAAGTGAGGAGATATGTTTCTAAGAGTGAATAAACTTCACCATGTCATCTATTAGTGCTTCCCCAATTACAAAGAGGTTTAGTGCATACGTAATAGCTACCAGTTACATAATAACAAAGTCAGGCTGTTTCACCTGACATTGTCTACACTAAAGTATATACATATCTGCCAAGCATTTTGATCTCGAATTGTATTTGTATACCTCGACCATGAATTTCCCATCTCCACATATTCATTTAGAGGGAAACCAAGAGGGTCCATTTGCTCAAAAAAATTAATAGTGATCGTAACAAGATATAGAGTGCCATATTGGCCAGTAAAGTGGGGTATTGATAAGGCTCGGATTCAGTTAGACATATCTAGTGTGCATTAAGCTAAGAGTTAAGACTGATATGATTAGAGTCATCTGTTTTCCGCAACGTAAAGGATTGGCTATGGGGTGATATGAAGAGACTAAGACAACAATTATGCCCATCTAGTGAAAAGAGATCCCAGAAGCTATCCGTGGTAGTTGTCACAAATTTTAAAAACAAATCTTGATTTTAAGAGCAATTATAATAAATAAACTTTCTTCTGCAAAAGTACTTAAAAAGATAAACGTATTACAGCCAAGTCTCACGAATATTAAATACATGTCTCAATGAAAGATAACCTCTGAAAGTTGTTGATCCAAAACAATAAAAATAGAGACATTAAAGGATTAAAAGCTCATTGTTGTGTCAATTGAACAAAGGGAAGTTTACTTATCGTGGTGAAAGGAAAAGGAATATCAAGTTCCGTGAAATTGGGGCAGAAAGCAATGGGAACTAAGTTTCAGGGTTGTTATTTTATTAAACTGCAAGGTATATGAATCAAAATGGATATGATTAGTTTACAAAACAAAACAAAACATAAAACATAAAACAAAAGAAGAAAAACAGGAAAACCCTTGTGCACATAATTGGGGCATCGAGGGAGAAGGAGCTAAATAAGTGAGGGAATTTTCGGTGGAGAAGGTGGTTTTCGCTTTCACTAGGAAATGGTATTTAATTCCGAAGGTTGGAAGCGAGAATTAAGTTCTGCCTGTATCAGAAACTTAATTATTACTTTGCAAATGGGCCCCCGCTTCATTTTGGTTACCAAAAATGAAAGGAAACACAAGAATCTAAAATAATAAATTTAATTCCCTTTCCTCCCTAGAAACACGAGAATTTGCATGGTTAGAAAGTATAAATTCCTCTACAAAAGGAAATCCCACCATGTCGTGCCAAATTGATCTAGGGTTAATCACCTAGCTCTTATACAAGGGATTTTACTTTCCCTGCATCATACATTAATCTCCTCTGTTATTAACAGAGATGTAGCGTATCCCTCAGAGTATATCTCTATAATGGTTCAAAGAACTTATCAAGCTAGCTATTAATCGAAATGTTTTTCTTAAACTTTCAAATTAATCTACCATTTAGGTGTAAAATGCAAGGGGTGAACAAGCTAAACGTTGAAAAACAACATCCACGAGTATCGTACAAAAGACCTTAGCCACTACATTCCAAGAAAATTAATTATAACCCGTAATTCTTCATATCTCAAACGTTTCTAAGGTTCACTACCAAACAATGGCAAAAATCCAGAGATCAAAGCAAAACATCACAAAGAAAGCTGCTCGTCAGACAATTATTCCACCGCACTCTTGAATTCTGGCTGAAATTGAATATGGAATTCCAAATCTTTTAGATGCCTCCTTGGCAAACAAACAATCAAATAAAAACAAAAAAGAGAGAGCAAAAAAAAAAAAAAGGTAAGCTCAAAACCAAAAGAACCCAGGAAAAAAAAAAAACTCGCGTGCGCGCGCACAATGGCACTTAGATGCATGAAGCAATCTGAATTAAACCTAAAACCTATTCAAGAAAAAGCACATTGCACACGTTAAAGACTAAATGTTAAGCAAAGCCACCTAACAAATGCACGTATATACTTAGTAGATACAGGTAAGTATACAAAAATCAGAAAATCACAAGGATTTTTTTTTTTTTTTAAATGTGTACTTTACCAACAATATGCTATGATCGATACAAGCTATAGATCTCACCAAATAATAATTAAATAAAGCTCACATTTGGAAGAAAAGAGTAATACTAACCTGACTGGATTGAAGCTCCGGTCCTTTAATTTCTTTTGAGCCAATCACACAAAATGCACGAAAAAAGATCACTCAAGAAAATAGACAAACTTTTGCAGACCCAAAGCTCATCTGCAAAAGAAATGGAAAAATTCGGCGTACCCAGATGATATCAAAAACAACCCATCAAATATTAAGCGAAATAAAAACTACCCAACAATCTAAACCCTATCAATTGCCAGTCAAAACCCTATGTTCTTGTTTTCCTTGTACGAAACAGTGATAAAAAATAATACCTAATAAAAAAGGGAAAAAAATTCACGACCAAATAAGAAGACCCGCAATGGGATTTCGAGAAGGGAGAAAAAAAAAAAAAAAAAAAAAAAAAAAAAAAAAAAAACCCCAAAAGGGATTTTGAAAAGGGAAAAAAAAAAAAAAAAAAAAAAAAAAAAAAAAAACAAGCCCGAAATTACAAATAATTAGAACAACCAATAGAACTCTTTACCTGGTACAAGATGAAAACTTGGGTAATCCTTTGGCAAAATAAACAAAAGATTATTATGTATATATAAAGAGTTTCTGTGGAAAAAGAATCCCAGCAAAAGAAAGAGACTTTTTGGTCTAGAGGAATCCGCCAAGAGAATCCAATCCGACGTCAAGCTGCTTATTATGGTATGTCAATAAAATTTCACCAGAAAAAGGCAAATATTAAACTTTATATTTGTAAACCCATGGCCATGGGCTGTCGTTTTCTATTTTACTTTTTCTATGGTAACAATAATGGAATGGAAGGAAATCTGGCACTATTTATTATTTGTTTATTGGGTTGAGATGTCACTGAAAAAAGGTATTAAGAGGGAGAGAAAAATTGGTGCTTAGAGAGCAGACAAGTCGATGTTAGTCACTTTTGGCCATACCTTTATCTGTGTGAGTTTGTATCTTCAAGACACGACACCAAAGCATGTATAGCTGCCCCTTTACCATCACCCTTGCCCTTATTGACAATTCAATGCTTTTCTCTCAGTTTTCCAATTTTGCGGGACTCTTTCGGAGGTGATAATAACTAAATAACAACATATAATAAAATATTATAGAGTCTCCGGTGGACACTTATAATATTTTTTTTTTGTTGCACTCGTTAAATCTGATTAAAATTAATTAGATTAAAACATATATTTAGAATATATGATTTTTAATATAGATATAGTTAAAAATAGATAATTATTAATAATTTTTTTCCTTTTTTGAATCTATTAGAGAAATTACCAAAAATTTACACTCCTATTTAAATCTTCCTATTTTCAAGCTTTAAATAATAATAATTTTTATGTCAATGATTATCTCAGAAATTTAGTTATTAAAAACATTTGTTAATTTTGTAAATTTTTTTAACAACAATTAAATACAGCCAACAAATCTAGTGAAAACAGATCCCAGAAGCTATCCGTGGTTGTTGTCATAAATTTTTTTTAAGAAAATATGGTGGAAAAAAATTTAAAAAAAATATACTATGATTTCGTTTATTTCACTAATTTAAATTTTTACTTTTAATTTTATTATAATTAAAAATTCTTAAAAAAATTAAATTTATTTTTTTACTATAATAAAAAATTTTCACATAAAATTACACCTTAATTTAAATTAAAAATTTTAATAGGCGGAATGAAAATTGCCTAATAACATATTTACTTTCCATGCTTGAAGTAAACGGCACCTTTTTTAAATAACGATAAATTATGGGATATTTATAATTTTAAATATTAGACACAATATTATTTGACATATTTACCCTTTCTTTTTTTGTTTATTTCCAATCTTTCCCGACACTCAACTCTCCCAGCCACCCTCTCTCTCTCTCTCGTTGCTATCTCTGGGATTGCGACTCCGATGTCCGGGAACTCGACTCCATTTTCGGCGAAGACAACGACATCGACGTCTTCTTCTCCCTCCTCTGAATCGCGCTGATCGAGATCCGGGAACGAGGACGACGGCGATGGAGATCTCTGTCGCGAGTCTCCGATGATCACGAAGTCGAGCGCTCGTCTTCTTCGGTGTCGTCAAGAGCGACCGTCGTCAGCCGATCGTCAGCTGATATGCTTTCTCCCTCTTTCCGTCCCAGGTCTCTCTCTTTCTTCTTCTCTCTCTCTTCTAGAACGGTTCGTCGCCGTCCATTTCTGCAAAATGGCCTCCGAATCCGACAGGTCCTTTGACAGTGGAGGAGATCGCCGCCTCGCGATCGGTTTTTCGGGAACTAGATCCGGCAATACTATTCGCCGCCTTCAAACCAGACCAGATCCGATCAAATCAACCACCAACCTTTTTCTTTTGTTTTTAATTTCTTCGAATTTGTGATCGTGGGTTTGAATCTTTATTTTATTTTGGTGCGTATTTATAGTTGGGGTTTTTATTCGTTCAAGTATTTTCTTTTTCTTTTTTCTTTTTTGTTGCATTGTGGTCTTTTGTTTCAATTTGCATTGATGGATGGGTATTAATCTTTTGTTGTAAAGTATTGTGGTTAGTGATTTTGTTGGGCATTAATCGTTCAACAAGATTTGTCTTTCAAAGATTTTATGGTTTCGCTGTTTAGTTCGGATTTAAATTTTTAATTCGAATTGAGATATAATTTTATGTGAAAATTTTTTACTGTTACAAAAAAGTTAAATGTAATTATTTATGAGAAATTTTTACTATAATAAAACTCAAATTCTAAACTCAAATCAGCAAAATGAACAGTTACGTAAACATTTTTAATAACTCCCCTTTTCCACCGTTTGTTATCATAATCTTTAAATTTAGATTCGATTAGTTCATAAATTTATAATTATAATTTAAAATTATTTTTAATTTATATATATCTTTTATAAATAAAAATATTATAATTAATTACGAATCATAATCTAAATATATCACAAATCATTAGTTTATCCTTAGGCAAAAACCAATTCCAACGTGCCGTGAGCTAGGATCCTTCTTCTCCACTTGAAGTTGCGAATAATTTTTGGGGCTCCAATTATTTTTGGCATTGTCAGTAAGCGTGTAATTGAGCTTCAATTTTTATTTAGAAAAAAATTCAAAAATTTGTTTTGGGTACCAATTTCAACCCCAGTTACATGTTTTTGTGAATTTTGTTTATCATTTCTGTGAATTTTGTTTATGTGTAAATACGATATTTATTAATAAATATAGTACTTATCGGTCACTTAAATTTTTAGATAAATATCGTATTTATCGATAAATATATTATATAATAGTTATTTGCGTTTGTGGCTAGATTTTTAAATAAATATAATATTTACAAGTAATATGACCTCCATTTAACAACGATATTTACTGATAAACTTGATAGTAAATATAGTATTTACTGATAAATATGATATTTATCAGTAAATAGTGTTAAACGGTCGTCAGAGTTGGTGGTCAGAATTTTAAATAAATATGATATTTATTAGTAAATACGGTATTTAGTTATAAATATAGTATTAAACGGTCGCCGAAGTTGGTGTTTAGATTTTTCGGATAAATGTGATATTTACTAGTAAATACGGTATTTACCAGTAAATACAATGTTAAACGGTTGTCGAAGTCGGTGGACGGATTTTTAGATAAATATGATATTTACTAGTAAATATTATATTTACTGATTAATACTGTATTTATCGGTAAATACACATTAAATGATCATTGGAGTCGGTGGCCATATTTTTAAATAAATATGATTTTTACTAGTGAATACGATATTTACTGATAAATACAATCCATGTTAAACAATCGTCAGAGTCTGTGCCCAAATTTTCAGATAAATATGATATATACTAGTAATTATTGGTAAATACGGTGTTAAATGGTCGCCGAAATCAATGCCTGAATTTTCAGATAAATATGATAGTTACTAGTAAATACAGTATTTATTGATAAATATGGTATTTACCTATAAATACAGCGTTAAACGGTCGCCAAAATTGGTAGTCGGCTTTTTGGGTAAATATGGTATTTACTGGTAAATACTGTATTAAATGGTAAATATGATCTTTATTAGTAAATGCAATGTTAAATATTCATAAAAAAAGTCACCGGAAAGCGGTCACTGGTCGCCGGTGGCCGGAGCTGATCGTCAGAGCCAACACCAATTTTCAGAGCCAACCATCGGTCCTAACTATGATGGACTTGACTATAATCTACCTATTTTAAAAAATACGTTATAATTTACTATTTTTTAAAAAGATAGATATTTAAGGAGATGAGTGAGGTGAAAAATGAGGTTCAAGGTGTTTTTAGGTTCTTAATAATATTTAAAACTTAAAATGTATAAAATTATGCTATAATTTACTATTTTTAAAAAGTATGTTATAATTTACTAATCACTTTACCAATTATATTATTTCCTTCGTTATCTAAAAAAAAAGTGCCATGCATAGGGCTGAGGCCTTATATGGGCCTTTCTGTAGCTCTATTGCTTGCATTATCTACCTTGCAGTTTCACAAAACATGGATGATTTTACTGGGTTTTAGTTTTGTGTATTATAACTAAATATATGTTTCTGGCATCTGAATTATAACAAACATGTTTTTAGTACCTTATATTATAACTTCAAAATATTAAGAAAATATTTTTAAAAACACTCAAATACCGCTTTAATATTATAAAAAACACATAAAACTAAGAGTGTATTTTACTATAATACAACGATTTTATCTATTCTTTTTCCCCATAAAATCTTCCCGTATATACCTCTCACTGCAGAAGCCTCCTTCTAAATTTTTCATGATAGACTACTAGCAGACTTCGGGACATTCATGCAATGTACGTATCACAGTAGCATACTATGTAATAATACAGTTGAATGTCTACAAATTAACTTTTTTTTTTTTGAAGATATATAAAATAATATTAGTGACTATGAAATTTATTAATTAATTGAGATATTATTTAATCGTATAAAAATATTATTTAATTGAGATTATAAATTTATCGAGGTTATATTCTATTAAACATGACGCGGTATTTATCATCCAATATTAAGGATCCTATCATCCAATATAATTTAGCATCTTATCATTTCATAGTATATATGATAAACCAATGTTCTACTTAGTATTCTAAGAATAATTCATTTATTATTGCATCATTTCCTATGTCAAAACGATGTCCTGTCTTTTTCTTTTTCAAAGATGGATGGAAACTTATGCATTCTGTGATCATCTCCTGCTGCTGCTTGCTCCTCAATCATTATTAAGAGAACAAATCACTTGTTAATCTCTTTCATATATTATTTATGTCGCTTTTATAGACAAAACTGCGTTGCTTGATTGACAAAGTTTGATAAGAGGGCAAGGAGAACATCATAGAAATGCCGCAGAATGAAAAGCAAAACCAGGACCCATATTTTTGTAGGATTGGGTTAGGAACAGTATTGGGCCGAGCCAATACCAAGAGCCCAGTCATGATCTTTTTTTTTTCTTGATATGATTTTTTTTTTTTGTTAATACAACGTTAGAACCTTAATCCTTTCATAACCCTATTTGACCTAGTAATATGTATTTGGTTATGAACATGATTATACATATATCTAACTAACATTTTTCTAGAGCAATTTACAGTAAGGCCACACAAAGATCTCATCATTAGAGTTTTGCCACACAATTCACTTTAGAGTAATATCTTTCATTATTCTAAAATATTCTACCGATTACTTTTCATTCTCAACAAGAAATGGCAAATCATCTCTAGCTCTGGTCACCGATGCCGGTCACCGGCATACTGTCTGACCTAGTGAAAATTGGCTCCTTGCTTATGACTAACTCACTTTTTTTTTTACTAACATATATATTTACATGTATTTAATTGGTCGTGTCACTTTTGTTAGGAAATATAA